CCGAAAGTGATTTTGATCAACAATTTGACTAATCAGAAGTCAAAATTCGAAAGATTTCAATCTTTGGAAGTCCAGGTCAGATTCTAAAATTTACCTTAATTTGATCACAAAAGCATGCAAAATCTTGTTTAAACCGTTCTATTTTCTTTGTTTTCCACTAAAAATTTGATACTTTGGTGTATAATAAGCTCAAGAATTGTGTTTATAAATTGTTCTATTGTCTTTGTTTTCCACTAAAAGTTTGATACTTTGGTGTATAATAAGCTCAAGAATTGTGTTTATAAATTGTTCTATTGTCTTTGTTTTCCACTAAACGTTAGATAATTTGGTGTATAATGAACTAGAAAAAAAATCCAACATTAGTGAATATTTGAATTCATTCAAGATATATTACCTTTTTAGCAAAATAAAAATTGGGTCATTATTAAAATCACCCAAAAGAAAAAGGGTTTTGTGAATCTTTAAAAGAAACTAGAAAATGTTTTATAGTTTTTTATTTAAATTTCATGTTACATCTTGTAGGCTACAGATGGTACAAGCAGCACCACAAAAGTGAACAGCATAGTTTGTGGTGATTGTGAAGGGAATGGTAAGTTAATACAGGCTACACATGACATAATAGGTTGTACTGTGTTTAATATGTTTAACTGACATAACAGGTTTTACTGTGTTTAAATGATTTCTAGAACTTATCAATAAGACAAAAACTGTAACTTTTTTGTCACCTCATCTATGCTTCGAATTGGCTATAATCTTTCTTTAGGTAAGGAGGAATGGAATTTACTAATTTGCCCTCTTGTGCAATATTAGGTTGTATACAATGTAAACAATGCAAAGGAAATGGAATAAACTCAGAAGATCACTTTGGTGGACGTTTCAAAGCTGGTGGATTGTGTTGGCTTTGCAGGTTTATTATTCTCATATTTATTTTATCTTACTTTATATTTCTAATAAAGAAAAAAACATATATATCATATTATGCTCGGTTTTCGTACCCGATTTGGGATTTGGTTTATTATTGAAGAAATCTTGTTGGTTGACCAAAAAGATTGCAAAGAGTTGACCTTTTTTGATTTGGTATTGATAAAGTGTATGCATTTTGAACAAGTGATGTTTAATTTATGTGTAGGGGTAAAAAGGAGATTCTTTGTGGTGGTTGCAATGGAGCTGGATTTAGAGGTGGGTTCATGAGCTCTTCTGATGACTAGGGAAAATCTTTAGCCACCACCTTCTGCCACCCTGAGTGTGGTGGTTCCGGCGAAACAATGAGTCTATGTTTATTCGATTTTGTAAAACTTAGTTCTTAATGGAAAAATGGTTGGTTGTAAGTGCTCAATGCAAAAAAACATAATAATCTACTTCCGTTTATTTGTTTATTGAAAAACATCGCAATACTTTTATTTCTTTATATTACAACATTGTACTAAAAGCAATAAGGGACATGATTAGAATATAAATATGGTATTGAAAATACAAACAATGAAAAGAAAACTAGGACGTATACTACTTTAATATCCTTATTTAACCATTAAACTGATATTACATTATCATAAAAAGAGTAGCTTAGTGCTTAATCGATATGTTGTGTCATTTTGTATTTTAACCCTTTTCAAAACCACGTAACATGGAAACTTGATTTTTGTAAACAGTCAAAAAAAGTATAATGTTAAACAAATAAGCCAATAAAATGGTAAAATTACGTTGTGTTTTTTCTGTATTCTATCCTCAAAAAAATCAAAACAAACAACACACATATAAAGTGAATATGAAAGACAAAAGCATTTGGGCAATAAAGATCATAACAACACATTATATGCAATTCAAGAAAGTCAAGACGCCTTTTTTCTTCACTTTCATGTTCCACATTTTATATAAAAGTGTACAGATTATGCACAAAAAACAACGATTCATGGCAAAAACAAACAAGAAAGATAGTGTATCAAGGAGTTTTTTTAAAGATTACATTTCATGTGTTTTTCAGCATCATGACAATATCAAACGCAGGATTTCCCCAGAAAACTTGAATGATTTCTCTGTTTCTTCAAGACAATGATTCTTCTCCTCTCTAGTCCAGTTCTGGTTATAACATAACACATAACAAACATGTTACAACATAGAATAAATCTCATTTACACTTCAAGAATCTACTTAATTATAGCAATTCAAATATCGTTTTTTTAAGAGGAAAACCTTTTACCTCTGCAACTACATTCAACTTGTCCCTAACATTCTGCAAGAGTTGAGAAAGATCACCATCCCATTTGTAAAACTCCAATTCCTTTCCATTCAATACCTCCTTAGCTACCTACAATTGAGACATGTAAACTCACAAGCATAAATCATAATAAGACAGTTAAGTCGTTCTTTCTGCGTTAAGTCTTGTTCCTGATAAATCCATTACCTTTTTCCCTATCATTCGACCTCCGGCTGAATGAGCAAAGTAGGTGTTGTAAAAGTGACAAATAAATGCTTGTGGATCTTTCTTTGATAACTCTTCAACATAAGCCGAGTAATTAAGCCCGGGTGATGATGGTTCGGGTATAGAATAGCCTTTTTCTTTGAACCATGTCAAATCTTTTTCAAGACTTTCCGCCCTTTCCAATCCCGTGTTCCTAAATTCAGCATCTGCAAAGAAACAACAGATAGCAGTACATGACATGACATGACAGACTGTACCATGTATAACATGACATAACAGATTGTACTATGTTTGACCTGCATTAGAGACTTTAGATGTATATGGGACATAAACTATTGTCCCACTTTTTGTCAAAGCTCAATAAGTTGCAATAAACACTTTGGACATAAATTAGAACTCTCAAGCCACAATAGATGTATTCAAGAAAAGGGGGTTAAAAACCAAATTTAAATCATAATTAGATCCTAGAGAGTTGACCATAAAAGTCAAAGTGTATCTCTAACTTCTAAAACATGGGGGTAAAGATGGTAAACACAAAATTTGAAAATAAACACCCAATAAACGTTTACCACATATTGCATATGTATACAAGATCATTCTACAAGGTTTCTAATGATAAAGTTGGACAATTATATGAGGATTTCTACCATTCACAACACACGAAAAGCATGATTCTTTATTTCTTTTATACACTTTATCACAATCTTATAACTAAAGTAAGAAACGAAACAATAAGGAAAACTTACATTCAGGGAAGTCAGCTTTATCAACAATCTTCTCAAGAGTATCATACACCAATTTACTATCCACCAAGAACTTCAAGTACCCATCAATGGTGGGTTCCCATTTAGGCAAAGGTTTCTCTTGAGCTTCTTTTTCTCCTTCTTTCGATTGATCTTTAGTATGCAATTTCATAGCCACAAACCTCATCTCCTCTACAAACCCTTTTCCCTCACCTGGATACCTCTTCTTCGACTTCTCCTCCGCTGCCGCCGTCGTCCCCGCTGCCGCCACAACCATTTTCTTGGACTTCAACACAAAACGATTCGAGGGATTGAAGCTGGTTGTGATTGGGAATATAGAAGTTTTCTGGGTGGATATGAACTGGGGTTTCTTCGAAAACAGTTGTGATTGAGAAATTGAAGGGATTGAAGCCATATTTGAAGTGAAAAGTTCTGTGTAGGAGTTGGATTGTGGAAGATGATGACAAGATAAGGGTGTGTATGAATCGGAATTAAAATTAAAATAATGGATTAGCTTGTGAATGATTGTTGGTTTGTTTTGTAATCTTGAAGACAAAGAAAAGCATTTAATAGTTATTTAAGGAAAAATTAATGATGTTCTATGTGGCTATGGAGTCTTCAAGAATTCAGTGAAGGAAGAAAGAGAAAAAAAGCGGTACGTATCTCTGTGTTCGGATGAATGTATGGCCTCCGTATGGCTGTTTCGAGATGGGCAATATTCCGATTATTGGATTTAAATAATACCATTTACCATATTGGAAGGAGAAAAAAAAATATAAATGATAATCTTTCTATATTTAGACCCCACAAAAATAAATTATCATGTAAACTCTTTTATTATAACTACTGTCAGTTAAAACTATAAAATTAAGTTTATTAAACTAATTTATAAGTTAAGTTATTATAAGTTATTTTAAGATAATCTTTGATAAAACTAAAAAAAATAGTTTATTTTATTTTTATAAATTAATTTATAATTTAGTTTGTTAATAAGCTAGCTTTTGACAAGTTTATAAATTTTTTTTTAAACATAATCTAAGTATATCATAAAGTATAATTTTTTTAGTTATATATCTAATTGTTCATGTATAAAATGTCATTTTATATTTATAATCTAGCTTATAAGTTATTTTTTAATTTTTATTAAACATTATTAATTTATTAACTAATAAGATAACTTATCAACTTAGATAATTAATTAACAACCAGTTTTTCTACTAAAAACTAAATTTTCAATTAACTTATCAAACATCCTTAGTTTTGTCTTCAATAATACATTAATACTTTATACAATCATTTCAAAACACCAATAATAGTTTTTTGGGTTATAATGATTTAACATCTCAATAAATGAATTTTTAATTTACTATAAATATGAATGAATTTTAATTTACTATAAATAGGAATACATTGTGAATAGATATGTTGTTATTATATATATATATATATATATATATATATATTAAAATTAAAGTTATGAAGAAAAAGAACAGTAAACCTGAGAGATTTTGCCCAATTTTGGTCCCTTAAATTACATTTCCAGTCCCTCTATTTTTATTTGTTTTATATTAAGGAAATGAAAGTTAGGAACAGTATCTGACTAGGGTACTGTTCCTTGGGTTACCACAGGGTTACGCGTATTCCTTCCCGATCCTTCCACCGTCTTCCTTTATGTATCTGTTGTATGCCGATTTGAGATGGCAATTCTCCAAGAACAGAAGACAGGAAGTGGAGCAATTTTCTGTATTTTTTTCATATCCTCAAATGCAAATTACAAAATACTTAAATAATCAAGGAAGCAACTGAAAATAAGGAAAATCTAAGTGGTGGTGGACCTTATGCAGCTAAACTTAAGCAGAAATTACTGGAAACACTACTTCTATTCGAGACTAATTCTCATAACTGACTTCTTCCTCTTATCCTTGTTAGTCCAAGAATCTTACAGGCTTATGGATCACACGTTTGGGCCTGGTTGGCTGTGTTGCTGGACTGATATGAGCTGGACTCGTATCAGTATCTCTGTTCCAATTTCCACCGTCTTCCTTTTATCATCTTCATCAGGTCGATGGTTCTTCTACTTCATGCAGCCGTCTGGCTGCACGACCGCGACCGTGCCTCCATTTGATCGTGTTATTCTTTCCAGTACCTTCAATTACCCTTTTGTTCTCAGTTCATTCCTGCAAGTTGTGTTCGTTCTACCGACTCCCGTTCTCCATCGGCCTCCAAAAGCCCTAAATCAAGAAATTGTATAAATCGATGATCACAAAAGCTTCACGACCACCCTCTTCTATTCCTTTTTCGCTCCAGTCTTCTCATCATATGTATAGGCCTTCTGATCCTCTTCTCCTTCTTTCTACTGAAACCCATCGCCGGTGCTAACGACGACTGCTTGGTGGCCTCCTGCGGCGCCCACCAACCAGAAATACGTTTCCCGTTCCATATCCTCGGCCGGCAACCCACCCGCTGCGGATTCCCCGGTTTCAACCTCTCATGTGACGAACAAAACCAAACAATCATCCGACTTCCGTCATCCCGCTCATACATCGTCAATAGAATTTCCTACGTTTCACAGGTTCGTTTCCAAAACATTACAAAAATAAATCGCTTCAAATTCAAAATCACGTCTCTAATCAGAGACATGTAAACGATTCACAGGTGATCTACATAGATCCGGAATATCTCCTGTTTCCAAATCTGAGTCTCCGAATTCATCTGCATGAACATCAACTGTAATCGCCTCTCTATATCTCTCTATTTGTACTTTTGGAGATGTATATATGGTATGTACATAAGGTGTTCTATGAAATGTTTTACTGTTTTTTTATGACCGAATATTGCTTTTGTTTTGATTTGTTTCGCAGATCTCTGATTCCAAGTTGAACTTTTTGGGTCGATTGCGTCCCAGACAAACGAGATCATGATTTTCCGGATGTGTCGCTGCTCCTCCTCCCTCCAGTTCAATGAAAACTTCCGCTACAACGGACCACGTTCATGATATTGACAAACAAATTCGACAACTGCCAAAGAAGGTAACTCCTTACAAAACATGGGTTTAAACAGTGTAATTAATCCCTAAAATTATTGTTTTCGTGATATTATTGTTTGTTTATAATGTTGGGTTGCAGATTCTATTGATGGAGGCTCAACAACAGAAAGCAGGGTGTGGTCATGATCCAAAACAAGAACAAGTCGAGAAGGTTGCTAAATTTGAAGATTGGAGCAAGGAATTGAAACTTCTGTTGGATGCTTCTCTAGGATCACTATAAAGGCATTTTTGTTGGGATAAAAAAGGTTAGATGTTCAAATACATAGAAATTTACAATTCTTCATTGTTGTTTTTTGTATGCAAAAATCAAAACCATGTTTGTTAGACATGTAGCAATAAACTGAACATATAACAAATGGTGATTTTTTCGGATGTAGTGATTTCCATTTTATGGAAGAATGTGTTTTTCTCTTCTATTTTTGATAATGGAATGATATATTGTAATTTCACATTATTTTTATGAATATTATTTTCAATAACACATGCGTTCAAAAAAATTTTAAAAAAAACTTTAATTAAATATATATTTGTTATATATCTATTGAGATATATTGGTGTGTAGCAATAATTGCATGGTGTTTGATGTTAAGATTTTCCAATCTTAAACTGCATCCTCTGCTTTTGACTACAAATCGGTGAATGAAACTCATGCCATTCATATTACAGAAACCCGTTATCACTGGTATCTTGCTATGTTTTAATTGCTAATTTTTTGTTACTTATAATTGTATAAAGAAAGATTTATATAAGTTGGTATAATCTATTATTCATTAAAATTTCTAACCTTTTTCTATGCCTGTTGACAGAAAAATGCAAACTCATTATGCATGTTCTGAAAGTACCCTTCTGGTTTTTAAGTAAAATAATCACCAATAAGTTAGTTCTTAGAATAATTTTCCAAAAATACCCTTATGGTTTTTAAGTAAAATCATAAACACAACATATCTATTTTGTAGGTAATTAAGTTTGAGGATGTTAAAGAGTTGGGAAGTGTGCCTGCTGTTAAGGTATGTAAGCAAAAAAATCTATGTTTATATGATTTTTGTTTTGTGTTTTATAGGAGATCTGAATTGATGAAAACACATACAATTGGGATAAAATGGTGGAATTTGAAACGACGGTTAGCGAATACTAAATAGTAATGTACCTTGCATTTTTGTTATGACTCTTTTACCAAAAACCAAAGTACATTGCCATTTAGTGCATTTTCCATATTTAGATGGTAAATGCAGTAAATAGCAATGTACTTTGCATTTACACGTTTTTTTTTTCATATTTTTTGTAATTTCTTTTAATTTTTTCCAAAAACCTAGCTACATTGCCGTTAGGTGCATTTTTCATTTTCTGGAGTAAAATGTCCCAAATAGCAACGTACTTTGCAATTACCAAAATACAATGCTATCAGGTCATTTTTCCGTTTTTTGGTTATTGATGCAGTAAATATCACTGATAGTTGAAGAGTAAAACTGTTTATGTGGATGAAAACAGAACATGGAAGTCATATTTTGGTCCACCTTCAAGAAATGGTTGACTGACGATACTACCATATCGTAATTAACAATTTTTTCTCAACTCACTTTGCAGTTACACCTATTTCTTTATGATTTTTTTCCAATTTTTTTCAATTTATCAACAAAACTGACTATTAATGCCCCATTATAAACATTAGTATATAGTATATTTTATCACCAATTCATGTGAATTGAGCCAGCTCTGTGTAATTTTTTGTTTCAAAAAAAAAAAAATTACAAATTAATCATCATCTAAAAATGTAAAAATTAATGTAAAGATTTTAAATTAAGGTTAGAATTACTAAATTAAATTGTTTCTATTAATTCCAATTATTATATCTCAATGTTACCTAAATGGTTAATGACATTCATTTGGAAGAATGTATAACTACATAGTGATAATGTTGACCTATTTAACTATTCTTCATGCTTCTTAACAGCAATCAGCTATGAAGGAATAGAAAACTGATATACAAAATGTCAAAAAAAGGGTTTTTTTGGTGGAAAAAGAATAGTGTAATTGAAATACATGGTAATTTGCATATCCTTTTCTAATGTGCATTCAATCTATTTGTTTTGTAATCAAGCTCGAAGCTGGTTGATAAACACATCTGCACCTTCTTGGAGTAGGAAAGGGAAATGTTGGATGAGATCAGATAATCAAAACAGTGGATGTCCAAGTCAGTCCTTTGGTTTTTTTTCTCACTTTTGCTAATCATAGTGCCAGATCCACCTTTAGCTATGAAATCAGGTATGTTCACTGATTTGTTGCCTTTTTAATTTGTTTTTCTAGATTTGAGAACGTTTGATTTGCTGTTTGTTCCTCAGATTAGTACGGATAGATGGGTTTGCGGTTTTATGAGCACACAGATTTAGCTACAGTTTTATGAGTTTTTGGCAAAAATATCTATGAGGTTAGTTCAATTATGTATTCAGAATATTGTTTTTGGTTTTGTCCATGGATTCTTTTCTTCAGGGTTCTGACTGGAAGGTGAAGATTTCTTTTTTTATTACTCTCATTTTTTCCATTTGGAGCAGTAATAAGAAGAAGACATCGATGTGGTTAGTTTTTTTTTAATCAAATTGATGCTATGGTGCTCAGATTAATATAAAGCTTCTATTCTTCTTTCAAATATCTATAATTTTTCATTTGATTTTTTAGATTTTAGGGTTTCTTAGTTTGTGGTTATTGTACAGGTGATTTGAATAACCTTCCTGCTGCCTTGCTCCACGTTTGAACCAGATGCCCTGTTAAGGTTGGTTTACATGATTCCTAGATATATTAACAGAGAGTGTGACAACTATTAATTAATTAAAAAATGAAAAAACCTTTGAACAGTTGGGACATTTTTTATTTTGATGCTATTGTAGAGGTATTTTTATGCATTTACGGTATTATAAAAATGAAAAATTGTTGAATAATTTGATTAAAAACGATATATTACAATCGTATGTATGTATGATTTATATTCATTAAAAAAAAATTAATATTACAAATAATGATAACACATACTCTGGATTTTATAGGTCGTTGTGTATCTTGGTGACATGGCGGGGGTACGTGTGGTTGAAAGAAGAGAAAGCAAAACACTTGCAGCAACAGATGAAAGAAGGTTGTTATTATGAACATTTAATAGTTGAAAGTATATTCTTATTTGAAAATACTTTTTAGATTAACGGAAGCCATTCTAACTTTAAGTAACACATCTTTATGCAAGGTAACTCTCATTACAACCCGGTTAAATTCTTTAGATTTGGAGCTATAATTGCAAGGTTGCAACATTTTTTATTTTTTGCTGAATATTAAACTAATACAATCATTTTGTTTGTTATAGACCTCCAATTACAACTACTCATTTTTAATAATTGTTTGTTTTAATATTGCATGTGACATGAAAGCATTTGAATAATTACGGTGAATAGCAACATACTTTGACTTTTCATTTTTTCTTCTGCTTTTTTTTCCATTTTTTTTTGTTTTTTTTTCGCAAAAACTTAACTACATTGCCATTAGATACATTTTTTATTTTTTTGTACTAAAATGCCCTAAATAACAATGTACTTTCAAGTTCTACCTATTTTTCTTTTTCTGTTTTTTGCATTGTCATTTTGGTGACTTTTCCATTTTTACGTTATAGATGCAGTGAATAGCACTGTACTTCAAATTTAAAAAATCTTTCCTGTTTTTATTGAAATTTTTCCCGTAAAACTTTCGATCGTATCTGTTTAGCTCCATGCCCCGCAACGCGCATCATCTAGTATATATTAAAGTTGTGGAAGAAAGGAATAGTAAACTTAGGATACTTTGTCCAAGTTTGGTCCCTTGATTTACATATCCGGTCCCTGTACTTCTTTAATTAATTTATTCATGTCCTTTTGTTTGTGTTCCATTCAACTTTCCATTTTTTTGGCAGAATTGGTCCCTGTATTATTGTTGGAAGTTAGGAATACTAAATTTGGATGTTTTTTGACAACTTTGGTCATTATTCTTTACCCATTTTGACACTTTTGGTCCTTGCAATCAATATTTTTACACTTTTTTGGAACCTTTTAATATTTAAAGTTTGGCTACAAAACTTTAACGGTTTGACAACTTTGATCCCTTTTCTAAAAAGTTGCTAATTTCTACCCCTTTAATTCTTTAGCCATTTTCACACTTCTGGTCGTTGCAGTCAAAACTTTTACATTTTTTGTCCGGGGCAAAGCCCGGACTTTTCATCCTTACACTTTCTAGTCATATTTATCAATTCGGAAACAATATTGAAAGCTTCTGGCCCAGCGTAGCGGAGGTAACCTTTCTAGTTTCCATTATTAATGAAAGTTATAAGAACATGTTTTTTTTATTGAATTAACAAATCCTTTACAATAATGTAGTTTCATGTTTATTGGAATATATAGATGACAAATAAAGTTAAATAATTTTGAATATATATATATATATATATATATATATATATATATATATATATATATAGAGGCTTAGGTTATTCTATTCAAAGTAATTATTGTGTTATTGTATGCATAAATGTGAGCCAATTAAATTTACTTATTTTAAGAAAGTGATTAATATATATTATTGAATTAAATATAATTGAAAATATCATCTTATTTAATTACAAGGGCAATTTAGTGAATTAATATAGATTTAATAAAGGAAATTGCATTTTTTAAAGGATCATAGATTCTATTAATTTTAAAAATCCGATTTTACGAATTATAATTATTTTAATTCGGACATTCTGACAGAATATGTTTATGAGTATATTCAAAAATAAAAATATTCTTGAACCATAAATAATAAAAATATTCTTGAACCTATTTTTTGATCATGAATTTAAAAACTTATTGTAGAATAACAAATTCTTGAACAATCAATTGAAGAATAAAAACAAAAAATACATTATTTCTTATAGAATACGGGTAACAATTGTTAAGAATTGCATTTATTTTTAAAGAATAAAACTAAAAAACAATTAAAACGGGAAAGAAAACATTAAAATCTAACAACGACTAATACATTCTAAAAGAATAATGTGGTCTGTTTCAATTTTGTGGTATGTTCTTCAAGCATCAACTTCTGTGATTCGAACAGAATTGGAATTCGTCATTCCATTCCAACAAAATTGGAATTCGTGATTCCATTCCAATAGAATTGGAATCTCACCAATATCATCCATTGAATCATCTACATAAACATACTTGATACCTTTTCAGAATTCAACCTTGTCAAGATCCTGCACTGTCCACATAAATGAAGTGTTAAATCAGGAAAAAAAAATTCGAATGAAAAGCAAATTAATCATTTTCTGTCAAAAGAATCAGAAAAAAGACAAGCTATGGAGATGATCAAACCTTTGCAACAAGAACTTACGCTCCTTGAATTGACTCCTAGCTTTTACCATAATTTCCATTCGGCTTCTTGAATGCCTTTCAATTTGAGCTTCCACCCATATCAAAGGCTTCACCTGAGTGCTAAGTCGATATGTCATCAGGTCAAATGCTCCATCAGGAGGCACAAATGATATTGTTCTGGTGGAACTTAATGTCATCCAAGTCAATGAAAATGAAAAACTATCTATATATAATATATGTGATATAAGATTTAAAAGAAAATGAAAAATTACTGGTGGAACTTAATGTCATCCAAGTCAATGGCTTTTCCCTTTGTAGTTCGTCCTTGTGCCTCCAATATTACTCTATCATTCAGTCCAAGCTTACACTCAGGCATACCAATGTAACAAGAATGAAATAAAGAACCCTAATTTGAAACTCACCTGGAAAATTAAACAAAAAAACAACAAATGAAAAACTGAAATCAAGAACCCTAATTTGAACAAAGAAGATGGAGATGGTCGATGAAGTGATTAGTAGTGTTCACAAGGGATATATGGAACCTATAATTGGAGCAATACTAGAAAAAAATCTCTTCTTTTTCGCTCCTGTACCCGAGATCGACATGGTGCAGGGGCTTTTTAGGCTTGCTTTTTCGTCAAGATAGGAGGGCCGGTGAGGCTTGATCGGAGGCAACAGCCTCCGGTTTCTTCTTTGGTTTTTCCAGCAAACAATAAAGATGACGAGAGAGAGAGAGAGAGAGCTTCTCCAAAATGTCTATTGAAAGTCGGTAAAAGGGGATGTGTTGTTGGATTCTCCAATCTCTCCATCTGGTTGGGACAGAAGGGCGGTGGATACGGTGGTCGGAGGAGCAAGAGGGTAGGGTGGCGGCCGGTGGTGGGAGGCATAAGGATGGAGGTGACGGCTGGAGATGGTTTGATTAGGGTTACGGTGGTTTTAAAAAGCCTAGTAGCTGAAGTCAATGGTTACCATAATTATAGGATATTATTTGTGGAAACTAATTATCAAATTACCTATTTACCCTTATTTATTTATTTAATTATTTATTTATATTTTAAATTTTGATTGGCCCACATTTATGCATACAATAACACAATACTTACTTAAAACACCTGAACCTATCTCTCTCTCTCTCTCTCTATATATATATATATATATATATATATATATATATATATATATATATATGAAAAACAAATCATACCATTTATAAAACATTTTAAAGTGTGTGGACATTAATAGATGATTTAGGTGTGGTTTGTTTTTTGTCTGCAGATCTTCTTGACCTATTCTGTCTGCACCGTGCAGACATTAGCCTTCACAGACTGTTTGTTTTTCTAAAGACTGCAAACTTAAAAATGTCTGTGCGCCATCTTCTTGACGCAGATGTTGACCAGAGTCTTCTAACATCTTCAAATATCTTATAGCCTAAACAAACACATATATCTTAATTTTTATAGTTTTTTTTTATTTTTATTTATTCAAACTTTATTAATGATAAACCATTTGAAAAAAAGTTACAACACTTTAAAAAAAAGATTCGACGACACAAGCATGATATTTTTGATAAATTTATTAATAAAGATTTATTACAATAATGGTTGTTGAAGTTGTTTATATAAATATGAAAAAAAAAATCATAATATATTCTTATATTTTTTGTACAAAATTTTATAAATCATTATTCGATACAGTATCGTCAATTTCTTGGAAAAATATTTATGGTATGTTTTTAATTGACTTAATTGAAAAAATCTATGTTTATTTCCATCCATTTATGTATCAAGTTCTTTGATTCCTAATTACAATGTTTATGTATAATTTTACGAACAAAATTGTTGGTTTTTATCAAATATATACCTTAATTCGTATAATTTTTATTTTCATTTTTTATACAATAATACATAAAAGTTGATCTTGATTTGTTAATTATTTATAACAAAGTCATAAAAATATTAAAAAGTCACTTTGAAGTTTAAAAAAAATATTTTAGTTTATTTTAATAGCCTGCAGATGTTAAAAAAACAAACAGTCTTCTTTTTTCAAACTGCAGACGTTTGGTCCACCTCTTCTAGATGTGGTCCGTAGACTGCAAACATTTTGCCTCAGAAAAACAAACAACACCTTAGAGAGTATTTGAGATTTCATTCAAAAACTTCTTATTGATTTATTTGTTTTTTTGAAATGTAAATAAGTTTAAAAAATATTTTATAAAAGAAAAAGGCATTTTAAAACAAACTTTTCATTAAACCTTTAAAAATAAGAATCTAAAAAGTCAGAATTTGTAACTTTTACAAACTCTTTATGACTTTTTGGTTAAAAAAATGAACGAAAATATTATCCTAACCCTATATCATCATCGACTACTCGCCTCTTTCACGACCTCTTCCATTGCTCCGCCTCCACAGTGAGCTCCATCATCCCCTTCCGGTGTATCTCTTCTTCGAGGTGTTTCTCCATCAAGCAATCAATTCTTCAAACATCCTTTTCACACATTCTTTTCTTCCCGTGTGGTAATATCGTTTTTTAATATACCTTCTTCTTCGTTTTTTTCACTTGGAGTTCTTCATTTTTTTCTTCAATAATTGTTAAATTGAAGGAACATATTTAGTAATTGTGAAATGAAATTAGTGATTGTTATCTGCCATGAATTCGTTATTAAATTGAAAAGTAGCAGCGTATTGAGTTTTCATAATATTTGATTGTCATTGCATTTGGTTTTTTGACTTGAAACTCATACTTGCTGAAATTTGATAATGATGACTTCATTCTAGCTGTTACATAATTATATTCCTAACATTTAACAATGGAGTAAACTACTTTTCATAACAAGATTGTGTTATATAACTTTAACTGTCTATTATGGCCCCATACTACTGAAAGAACGAATTCCGTACGAGGATCATGAAGAGTCAAAAGGTTATTAGGAAGTTGGTTGATGGTAGATAGTGTGGTATAGCACTAGGGTTAGTTGTAGTCTATTTTCTTATCTATCGGTCTTATAGTTATACTTAAGCATGATGAGGATGGTCTTGGTAT